GAGAAAGAATCTCAAGCAGGTTCTGCATCAAGCAGACTCCACACTGAGTGTGGAGCCTGATCCAGGGCTCAATCTCAGGACCCTGAGATCATGACCTAAGCCAAAATCATGAGTCTGACACTTAACCAACTAGGCCATCCAGGCTCCCCTCACAAAATATATTTATTCATAAAACATACTGACTACACAGAAAAATAAACAGACATGGTCTCAGTCTTCATGGATTTTCCAATCTGGTAGGAGAGGGAGAAAGAGATAAACAAGAAAGCAAACAAAAATATACAGTAACTATATGTTGTGGTGAATGTTCTGAATGACTTTAAAACATAGAGTAGTGGAGCATAACAGGGTAAAGCAACCTAGAAAGTTGAGTCGTCAAGGAAGGCCACACAGAGGAGTCATATTTAAGCTAAGCCTCGAAGGAACAAAAAGAAGTCAGCCCTACAAAGCATGAAGTAGAGGGTGTTCTAGGCAATGAATGGCAAGAGAAAAAGTAGAAAATATCACAAAGTAACAGAAGAGGTATAGTGAATGACCCCACTACATTCTGAAACTGCCTTCCAGGGATCATGTCCAGTTTGGCTTTCTTCAACTTTTCAAGATGTTGTTTCTGCCTACCATCTGCTCAAGCAGAAGGTGGTCAAGCCTCAGGGACGGTGGTAGTGCCAGTTTTCCTGGTGCTCCAGAAGCCTCTGGTCACTAGCTGATTACCCATTGCATGTGAATTCAAAAATCTCAAAACAATAACCTTTTCTCATCCTATCCAATCTCCAAAGCACAAGCCACAAGGAAAGAAACTAAATGAAAAGAAATGTTTTGATGGAACAGTTGTAGACTGTAGACAGGGAATAGAATGCCAGAGTTCCAGTGCTAATTCTGCCATCCCTCATTTTTTTTTACATGTATAGGCAATTGCCTTCACTTGACAAAGTATTCTTTTCTCCCTGGGAGAATGAAAATCTTAGAGGCAGAAAAGACCTTATAGATTCATCAGTATAGCTCTCTTAGCAGCACAACCAGGTACACACTGATTTTCAACCTTCATATCAAAAGATCTACTACACCTCACAGCTGTTACACATAAAACCTGCCTTGTCTGAGCTCCCAGGAATTTAAACTAGAATAAATGCTAAGTGATCAGTCTACACGTGAATGTATGTATATAGTATTTATAAACATAACCTATACACATTTTTTGAAACACAAGTATAAAATAATTGCACAAACGCCTTGATTTCCTCAGAAGAACAGCTATCCATATGCAAGGAAAAGATAATGTTAGAGAAGAAGCCAAGTACATACAGTTTTTCTTCCTCGATGTATATTCCTACCTCTGCTAAAGGCAAAGATAGTTAACTATTAATTGCCTCAGGAAAATGAGACACAGAGAGCATTTTCTCTTTTCAGATAATGCTGAGTATCTTTCCAGAGAAGGATAAGACTTGACAAGAGGAAAAACCATGGAAAAGTTTTGTTTTTAAGTGATCCAAACACCAACTGTCAGCCTCAAAGGAAAATAATATGCAAGACAGAAATAAAAATGAATGATGACTTAATCAGGACATTATTAGAAAGGGCACAGAGAATTTTAACTATACTACTTAAAAGTTGTTCTACATTCCAAAATCAATAATCTATGGCCAAAGATGAATCTAGCAAGAATTCAGATCAACTTTATGTTTCTGAGATTCTAAAATTTTTTTCTGTGTTAGCCATAAATAATTAACATAAATATAGTTTGACTGCAGTGACATACTCCACCTTATCCATTGCCTAGTGAGCTTATTTGACCTGAAAGTATACACTCTACCTCTTCCAAGACCAACATCTTCCAAAGCATCTTCTGAAAGTCCCATTAAAGATTCAAGATATGTCTCAGGAAAAAAAAAAAAAACCTCAGAAAAAAGATTCCATGTGAAGTTAAATTCAAGAAATATAGAGTGAGGGGTACCTGGGTGGCTCAGTCGGTTAAGCATCTGCCTTCAGCTCAGGTCATGATCCCAGCATGCTGGGATCGAGCTCCACATCAGGCTCCATGCTCAGCAGGGAGCCTGCTTCTCTCCCTCTGCCTGCCTGTTTCCCTACTTGTGATCTCTCTCTGTGTCAAATAAATAAATAAAATCTTTAAAAAGAAAAGAAATATAGAGTGAAATGAAACTACCTGTACATCTTCAAAGATCTTAGCAAAAAGATCTTAGCTGCATTTCCCACATACATTTGAGCAAAGAACACCTCTATGAATCAAGAGAGAGATACTAGTTTTCCTTGAAACATAACTTGGGAACAAAACCCTGGGCACTCTAATCAAGCTGCAGTATCAAACCACAATTCGTACTTGCTTCAGCAGCACATATATTAAAATTGGAACAATACAGAGAAGATTAGCCTGGCGCCTGAACAAGGATGACATGCAAACCACAATTCATGGAATCCCTGTGTGAAACCAAAAATTACTTCCCTTTTCATGTTGCAAAAATGCTCCATGGGATATGAATCTGATATCATTTGCCACTTAATGTGCACAGCTTTGTGATCTCATAACTTTCGAAAGCACAGAATGTTTTTCTTTATTCTCCTAATCTACCTCAACACTTGTATTCTACAATGTGATTATCTAATCTAGTTTTGTAGACCAGAGTAAGCACCAGGGAATTTACCCTCAATATTCTCACCCTTGTTTTTTTGTCTTTTATATTATGTATCTTTTGCTAGTTATAAATAACAAATTCATGCTCATTGTAGGAATTTAACCAAAATATAAGAAAACTAAAATCATATGATTTGATATTGCATAAAAGTATCTTAACGTTTATATTGAGTAATAAATACTTAAGAATAAACAAGAACATCATGAAGCAAAATAACAGGAGTAAAGGTAGTATAGGAATTTGCCTTACCAGATATCAAAATATACTAAAAATTCACTTAATATGGAATGGACAAATAGATTATGGGAACCAAACAGAAAATCCAAAAATAGATCCAAGAAAATATAATAATTGAACATGTGACAAAGGGGTATTTGAATTCAGTGAGGAAAGATGATGTATTTTTAAAGGGTACATGGACAATAGTTATATGTTAAAAAGAAAACAAAATTATATTCCTTCCTCACACTATATACAAAAATAAATTACAAATGGATTATACACTTAAATTTATTTTTTTAATGAGACAATAAAACTCTTAGCAGAAAATCTAGAGGACTGCATGTTAAAAATTTAAAGATGCTGAGGATGCAGAGGAAGGGGAACCCTCCTACACTATTGGTGGGAATGCAAGCTTGTGCAGCCACTCTGCAAAACAGTATGGATGTTCCTCAAAAAGTTGGAAATAGATCTAAGACCCAGCAATTACACTACTGGGTATTTACCCCAAAGATACAAATGTAGTGGTCTGAAGGGATACATGTACCCCAAAGTTTATAGCAGCAATGTCCATAATAGCCAAACTATGGAAAGAGCCAAGGTGTTCATCAAGAGATGAATGGATAAAGAAGATGTGGTATATATATACAATGGAATATTATGCAGCCATCAAAAAAATGAAATCTTGCCATTTGCAACAACGTGGATGGAACTAGAGAATATTATGCTAAGCAAAATAAGTCAATCAAAGAAAGATAAGTTTCATATGATCTCACTGATATGAAGAAGTTGAGAAACAAGACAGAGGATCATAGGGGAAGGGAGGAAAAATTAAACAAGATGAAACCAGGGAGGGAGACAAACCATAAGAGACTCTTAATCTCAGGAAACAAACTGAGGGTTGCTGGAGTGGTGGGGGGTGGGAGGGATGGGGTGGCTGGGTGATGGACATTGGGGAGGGTATGTGCTATGGTGAGCACTGTGAATTGTGTAAGACTGATGAATCACAGACCTGTACCTCTGAAAAAAATAATACATTATATGTAAAAAAAAAAAAAAGAACAGAAGACACTCTAAACCAAACAAGAAACCTAAGCCTACAAATAAATAAATTTAAAATATGTAAATATGTAAACTTTTATATGCCAAAATACATAATAAAAAATAAATGATCGGCTTTGAAAAAAATAATACAGATGACAAACTGCTTATATTTGAAATACACAAGGATTGTTTTAAAATACAAGAAAAATACAAACAACCCTATAGAAAAGTTGGCAAAATTGGGAAAAGGCAATTCATGGCATAGAAAATTTTAATGACAAAATTAATACTAATTAGGTAAATTCACCTTAACATAACCACAAAATATAACTTTATACCACTAAGATTAGCAAATATTTTTTAAAACAGTATTTATTGCTAGAAGAGATAGGAGATGAAAACATAAATTGTTACCATCTTTGTAGAATGTTGAAAGAAATCTGGCAATAGCAATTAAAAGTAAACATACCAGGACACCTGGGTGGCTCAGTCAGTTGCGAGTGTGCCTTGGGCTCAGGTCCTCCTGGGATCAGGCCCCACAGCAGGCTCGCGGCTCAGCGGGGAACCTTCCTCTTCCTCTCCTGCTTCCCCTGCTTGTGCTCTCTCTCTCTGTCAAATAAAGAAATAAAATCTTTTTTAAAAAATTAAGAAAAGAAAAAAGAAAAACAAATAAAAGTCAACATACCCCCTGCCAAAAAAAGTAAACATACTAATACCATTTGACACTGAATTCCTGCTTCTGGTCATACTTCCCATTGAAAAAATTCTCAGTTAATATGAACGTATGTATATAGATGATTAATATGAAATTATTTGTAGTGGCAAAAGATACAAATGAGTTTTTCTTTCACTGGGAAGTAGAAAGATAGAAAAAGAAGAGGATTAAGAGTACAATGGACTCTGAAAAACAAACTGAGGGTTCTAGAGGGGAGGGGGTGGGGGGATGGGTTAGCCTGGTGATGGGTATTAAAGAGAGCACGTTCTGCGTGGAGCACTGGGTGTTATACGCAAACAATGAATCATGGAACACTACATCCAAAACTAATGATGTACTCTATGGTGACCAACATAACATTAAAAAAAAAAAAGAGTACCCTTATCTCACGGAGCCGATAGCGCTCTTGCAAACAGGGTGAACGTTCCTAAAACCCGCCGGACTTTCTGCAAGAAGTGTGGCAAGCACCAGCCCCACAAAGTGACACAGTACAAGAAGGGCAAAGATTCTCTTTATGCCCAGGGAAAGCAGCGTTATGACAGGAAGCAGAGTGGCTATGGTGGGCAGACTAAGCCGATTTTCCGGAAAAGGGCTAAAACTACAAAGAAGGTTGTGCTGAGGCTTGAATGTGTTGAGCCCAATTGCAGATCTAAGAGAATGCTGTCTATTAAGAGATGCAAGCATTTTGAACTGGGAGGAGATAAGAAGAGAAAGGGCCAAGTGATCCAGTTCTAAGCTTCATATTTTGTTAATACTATGAAGACAATAAAATCTTGAGGTTATGTTCACTTCAAGAAAAAAAAAGGGTACACTTATCTCTTTTTTCACAACGGGTTTGCCACCAGAACACAGGTGTCATGACAACCACCACTAAACCTAAACCAAAATGGGAAAGGAAAAGACTCACATCAACATCGTCGTCTTTGGACACATAGATTCGGGCAAGTCTACTACTACTGCTGGTCATCTGATCTACAAATGTGGTGGGATCGACAAAAGAACTATTGAAAAATTTGAGAAGGAGGCTGCTGAGATGGGAAAGGGATCCTTCAAGTGTGCTTGGGTCTTGGATAAACTAAAAGCTGAATGTGAATATGGTATCACCATTGATATCTCCCTGTGGAAATTCAAGACCAGCAAGTATTATGTGACCATCATTGACTTTATCAAAAACATGATTCCAGGCACATCTGAGGCTGACTGTACTGTCCTGATTGTGGCTGCTGGTGTCGGTGAGTTTGAAGTCGGTGTCTCCAAGAACGGGCAGACCCGTGAGCATGCCCTCCTGGCTTACACACTGGGTGTAAAACAACTAATTGTTGGTGTTCACAAGATGGATTCCACTGAGCCACCCTACAGCCAGAAGAGACATGAGGAAATCATTAAGGAAGTCAGCACCTACATTAAGAAAATTTGGCCACAATTCCAACCCAGTAGCATTTGTGCCAATTTCTGGTTGGAATGGTGACAACATGATAGAGCCAAGGGCTAACATGCCTTGGTTCAAGGGATGGAAAGTCACCCATAAAGATGGGAATGCCAGTGGAACCACACTGCTTGAAGCTCTGGATTGCATCCTGCCACCAACTCATCCAGCTGACAAGCCCTTGCATCTGCCTCTCCAGGACGTCTACAAAATTGGAGGTATTGGTACTGTCCCTGTGGGCTGAATGGAGACTGGTGTTCTTAAACCTGGCATGGTGGTCACCTTTGCTCCCGTCAATGTTACAACTGAAGTAAAGTCTGTTGAAATGCACCATGAAGCTTTGAGTGAGGCTCTTCCTGGGGACAATGTGGGCTTCAATGTCAAGTACATATTGTCAAAGATGTTCATCGTGACAACATGGATGGTGACAGCAAAAATGACTGACCAACAGAAGCCGCTGGCTTCAGAGCTCAGGTGATTATCCTGAACCATCCAAGCCAAATTAGTGCTGGATATGCATCTGTGTTGGATTATCACACAGTTCACATTGCTTGCAAGTTTGCTGAGCTGAAGGAGAAGATAGATTGTCGTTCTGGAAAAAAGCTGGAAGATGGTCCCAAGTTCTTGAAATCTGGTGATGCTGCCATTGTTGATATGGTTCCTGGCAAGCCTATGTGTGTTGAGAGCTTCTCTGACTATCCTCCTCTGGGCCGTTTTGCTGTTCATGACAGGAGACAGACGGTTGCTGAGGGTGTCATCAAAGCAGTGGACAAGAAGGCAGCTGGAGCTGGCAAGGTCACCAAGTCTGCCCAGAAAGCTCAGAAGGCTAAATGAATATTATCCCCAATACCTGCCACCCCAGTCTTAATCAGTGGTAGAAGAACGGTCTCAGAACTGTTTGTGTCAATTAGCCATTTAAGTTTAATAGTAAAAGACTGGTTAATGATAACAAAGCATCAAAAAACCTTCAGAAGGAAAGGAAAATGTTTTGTGGACCATTTGTTTTGTGTGTGTGTGTGTGGCGGTTTTAAGTTATTAGTTTTTTAAAGTTAGTACTTTTTAATGGAAATAACTTGACCAAAAATCTGTCATAGACAGGCACCTGGGTGGCTCAGTCATTAAATGTCTGCCTTCGTCTCAGGACATGATCCCAGGGTCCGGGGATCAAGCCCCGCATCAGGCTCCCTGCTCAGCAGGAAGCGTGCTTCTCCCTCTCCCACTCCCCCTGTTTATGTTCCCTCTCTCACTGTGTCTCTATCAAACAAATAAACAAAATCTTTAAAAAAACCTGTCATAGAATTTTGAGACCCATTAAAACAAAAGTTTAATAAGAAAAAAAAAGAGTACACTTACCTTGATGAGCACTGAGTAGCACATAGAATTGTTGAATCATTGTATTACACACCTAAAATTAATATAACATTGTATGTTAATTATACTTAAATAAAAAATCTTATTTTTTAAAGAAAAGCACAGATCCCAAAAACAATGAGAAAAACCAGGATCAACTAAAAATTATACCTTTTCTTGACCCCATTGGAGAAGTCGGAGTAACCAGAGATGGATAGGCCCCTCCCAGGAGAGACAAAATAGACTGACTAGCTTGTGACAGAGCACAGGGAGAGGAGCTGGCTATTCCAGCTACTCTCATGGGTTCATTTGGAGGCTCTTTTTCACAGAACCTCAGCAGGTGCTCACAAGAATACTGGTGACAGGGCAGGGGAACAGAGCAAACCCCCCTCACACACCTGCTTTGCAGTCAGATATGGAGGAGGGGATTAGGAACCACAGTGGAAAGGGCACAGAGCCTCACCACCCCTGATCCCCTGCCACAGACATTTTTGTCATTTCAAACCAAAGCCTTAAGCTTCTAAAAAGGTATTTAAAATACTGTCACCTGCAGGGTACACATCGAGACCCATGGTAGCTGGTGAAAGGATAGAAGGAAAAACAAAACAATTCCACTACTGATGGGAAAGCAAAACGTAATAATAATAATAATAATGGGTCCTAGACCCCTTATTTCCTGTGTGCAAGTGTAGGGAGGCTAGAAGGTAAGAGTAGAACACAAACACCAAGAAAAGCCCTCTGGCACCACAGCTACCTCCCTAAGCCCAAGGTTACAATGGTGAACACTTGAGAATGTTTTTGGTAACAGCTTTATTGAAATATAGCTCACACACATACAATTCATCAACTTAAAGTGTACAATTCAGTTATTTTTACTACATTTACAGTCTTGTGCAGCCATCACCAAATTCAATTTTAAAACATTTTTATCTCGGGCGCCTGGGTGGCTCAGATGGTTGAGCGTCTGCCTTCGGCTCAGGTCATGATCCCAGGGTCCTGGGATCGAGTCCCGCATCAGGCTCCCTGCTCAGTGGGAAGCCTGCTTCTCCCTCTGCCTCTCTCTCTCTCTCTCTCTCTCTGAGTCTCGTGAATAAATAAATAAAACATTTAAAAAAATAAAATAAAACATTTTTATCTCCCCAAAAAGAAACTCCATACCATTTAGACACCCCCAACTCTTCATCTCAATGATCCCCACCACCAACTCTAAGACAACCACTAATTTACGTTTTGCCTCTATGAATTTGCCAATTCTGGATATTCTGTATAAATGGAATCATATAATTTGATTATTAATTGTGGCCTTTTGAGACTGACTTCTTTCAGCATGTTTTCAAGGTTCATCTATGTCACAGCATGTATCAGTACTTCATTACTGTTTATGGCCAATAAATAAATATACCACATTTTGTGTATCATTTCATCAGTTGGTGAACATGAGTTGTACTCATTGTTCTCACTTTTAGCCCATCATGAATAATGCTGCTATGAATGTTCCCATACAATTTTTTAAAGATTATATATATATATTTGAGAGAGAGACCATGAGCAGAGGGGGGAGAGGGAGGAGCAGACTCCCCAATGAGCAGGGAGCCCAACATGGGGCTTGGTCCCAGGACTCTGAGATCTTGACTTGAGCCAAAGGCAGGTGCTTAACCTATTGAGCCACCCAGGTTCCCCTCATATACAATTTTTGTATGAATATATATTGTTTTGTGGGACGTATATACTTAGGCATGGAATTGCTGGGTTATATGATAATTCTATGTTTAATTTTTTGAGGAACTGACAAACTATTTTCTATAAAGCCTGCATTATTTCCATTCCCACCAGCAGTGTATGGGGGTTCCGATTTATCTACAACCTTACCAAAACGTATTATCAGTCTTTTTTCTTTTTAATTTTATTATGTTATGTTAGTCATCATCCAATACATCGTTAGTTTTTGATGTGTGATCCACGATCCATTGTTTTCATATAACACCCAGTGCTCCATGCAGTACGTGCCCTCCTTAATACCCATCACCGGGCTAACCAATCCCCCTCCTCCCTCCCCACTAAAACCCTGTTTGTCTTTCAGAGTCCATAGTCTCTCATGGTTCATCTCTCCCTCCAATT